GAACCTTCTGGCAGGTCAAGGTGAAGGAGGACAGTTTTAGCACAGTGCGGGAAGAGCACCTCAGCAGCAGGGCACACAGCCACGCTTCAGAGGAGGCTTCCCATCACGGGTGGGGCACTCAGGCCCGGGAGCCGACGGCAGCACCACGGACTCAGCTGAAGACAATGATCTCCTAGGTCCCTTCCAATGCATAGAAGTTTTGAAATAAAAAGTGACAGCTGCCACATGTCCCATGGAAGGTGGCCGGCTCTAAGAGGGCAAACTAACAGTAAAGGAGTGACACTGACGTGGGGCCCCACCCGTTCTGAGGGGGGTCTCACGCTGGAGACCTGTCAACACACTGTGATAAAATAACACCAAAAAGTTCTTCTGCACGGAACTTTAAACCGCACTCAAGTCTGTCTCCCCAGTTTCTGTTCGCAAGTCATTATTTCCCCCCCTTTGGGGAACGTCCCCTCCCTTTCATCGGGGCAGAGGGTGGTGGGTTTTCTTTCTTTTTGCTGTGAAGAAAACTTGTCTGCAGAATTTGGTTTTCACTCAAAAGCAAGGGAAGGAACACACAATGGCTGGTAGAACCTTGGGGGTAACAAAAGAGCGCAGCCTACTTGGGCACAAAGCGAGCTGCCGAGGATTCATAACTACGATCAAAACGTCGCTGTGCTGCTATAAATACGGAGCCAACCGGCCAGTGAGTCATCCGCTAAGATAATGTGCACAGCCTGAGCTGTGCCACTCCGGTTTGGAGCCAGAGTCTAACCACTCTTGCTTCCTTTCTCTTCTTTTTTAAATGAGTACAGAACATTACACTTAATTCTTCCTCTTAAAAGGAAAATATCAGATGATATTATTCATCTGATTTCTCTGACAGAAAGCTTCTTTTTGCCTCTTCACACAAATCTGCTGTATAAAACATGTCAACCGTTTCTTAAACATTTTGCAAATAGCGAAGTAACCAACATCGGTCCCCCCCCCTCCCCACCAAGTACAGACCAGCCCATATTTCTTGCCTGGGGCCATGGAGGAGCCCCCACCCCGAGACCTTCAGGAGGATCCATTGCCTCCCAAGATTCAGCAGAAAGTGGTTTCCCACTAGTGGAAGAGGTTCCCTACCCGAGGTGACGGGGCGCCAATTTTCCAACTGTTCACCTTGCCTGCTAAGCATAGCCACGAACTTGACCCCCCCCCCACCAGAGGTCTATTGTCAGTGAGGCTGGCAAAACTTAGGCAAGGAAGGCTGCCTTTCAACCACCATTATTCGCTATTTTTAACATTTAGCTGTAAAATAAAAAGTGCCCCAGATGACGTATCTTTACAAAGTCACAGAAGGGTTTCAAGAACAATCAACATGCAGTGTATGGGGGGGGAGCAAAGGCAGACTACTTAAATCAACAAGGCCTGAGGACATGAATTTTAAACTACACAGCAGAACGTCCACAGTTGACCACCTCCTAATGTTGACCTAATTTTCACAGACCACACGTGCACCACATGTACTCAATGGAAGTTCCTTATGTTGGTCACCTCTGTAGGTTGCCCAGTTTGTTACAGTCCCTTGGATGGTCGGCTTACATTAGCTCTACTATATTTAATTTTAATCAACATAAATGTAAGTGGTCCTATATGTGGCTGGTGGCTCCCTCACTGAACTGTGAAGGGCTGGGTGCTCTATAATTCCCTGGCGGTGACTGCAGACCACAGCAGGGAAATCTGGTACAGGACACACACAGTGCCCCACGCCCTCTTCTCCTTTTACCAGAGTGACAGCAACCGTGGTATGTTGATGAGGCCTGAGAATGTTCCCTTTGTCCAGCTGACCTGAAGGCAAAGTCTTCTCTCATTCACTTCAGTGTCTCCCTCAATGACCAGCAAAGGCTGTAAAAGGGTCCTTCTGGGCTCAGCCGTGCATGTAACCTCTGACATGTGTCCACATGCCCCTGGACAGAATGGGCCTCCCCCACCAGCACTGACAGATAACGAGACATCAGAGGGTGCTGGGCTGTAAGGGCTCTCAGAGGCCACCTGTCCCCTCTCTTTCCACAGATGAACAGTTGGGTGAGTGGTGTGAAGTGATCAGACTGCAAGTAAGATGGTGATCCTGGACCTACCTACACTCAAATTTTATTTGAAAAATGCCCTTTCACCTGCAGATGTCCTGGGATTCAATCTATTTTATTTTATTATTATTTTTGAGACAGTGTCTCACTCGGTTACCCCAGATAGAGTACAGTGGCATCATCGTAGCTCACACCAACCTCAAACTCCTGGGCTTAAGCAAACCTCTTGCCTCAGCCTTCCAAGTAGCTAGGACTACAAACAGCTTGTGCCGCCATGCCTGGCTAATTTTCTTATTTTTCCTGTAGAGATGGGGTCTTGATCTTGTGCAGGCTGGTCTTGAACTCTTGGCCTCAATCAATTCTCCTGCCTCAGCCTCTCAAAATGCTAGGATTACAGTCATGAGTCACTGGGCCTGCCTCATTCCACTTTAAATGAGTGATAGAGCAAGCGTGTTTGTACCAACAAGTGCTGTCAAGAGCAGTTTCCACAATCACAGGCAAGGGACTGTGCTGTTCAAGATGCGAGCTATGACCCACATGTGACTGTTGAGCGCTTGAAATGAGGCTTAAATGGCTGAAGAACGGAATGCTTACATCTTATTTTAACTGATTTACATCTGCATTGCCACCTGCGGCCAGCACTACTATTTCCGATGGTGAAGGTCTGGAAGCTCTACTGTCCGTCAGGAAACACTGATGCAGCAGGCATGGGTGGGCTTCTCAGGGCCCTTCCAAAGACGGTTCCCTAAGCAGCATAGCCTTCACCACTTTTACCCAGTTACAGGATTGAGACATTTATGCTCTACACCTGATAGATCCAACTTGTATTTGGATGTAAGCATTCCAATTTGTACAAATAATCAACACATTGAACCCTATAATGGCATAAATGTATTTATGATCTATGTACGAATGACTTAATTAAAAAAAAAAATAGGCTCGGAGCCTGTGGCTCAAGTGGCTAAAGTGCCAGCCACATACACCTAAGGTGGTGGGTTCGAATCCCCAGCCTGGGCCCGCCAAACAACAATGACGGCTGCAACCAAAAAA